ATACTGCAAGAGCCTGTGCATTGCATCCTGGAAGCACTGACCACGGGTACGATGTTCTGTGTGCTTCAGTGATTAAAAGTAGGAAATGCACATTTATCATATGTTCAATGTTGTTGCATATACTTTCTTACTGAGTGCACCCCCACACACGCATTATATATTGGGGGGCATTGTGGGTTGACTACTTTTTTTTGGAAAAGGTGGACTGTGCCTTTAAAGCTAACCTGTCAGAAACCGGGCAAATTTAAATTAAGCAAAAAAGTTATTTTCAGGAGAAATCCCTATCAGCAAATCCAGAGCTATAGGCAGCTGATGTGACCTGCAAATCTTGACATATCCCCTAAAAGTGGTGCTCAGCCCAACTTAATTGTTTGCTCTTAGGGGAATGGCGGGACTCACTGACCAATAAGGATTGCCTCTGAAGGTATAGGGGAGGGGTAAAGCACAAACTTGAATTTTGTCAGTCATTAACGAATAAACTAAAAGGAAGCTCAGTCATGAAGGGGTTAAAATTGATGAAACCTGGGACTCGGTTAGAACGTCATCAGTCCTTCCACACTAACCTGTCTCTGTTTTTGGTGAGTAGGTTCCCCTCAATTCCTTCCATTAGGTTCTCGAAGCACAGGTGCATGGCTTGCTGCTTCTCGGGGGGCTGACTGCTGACGATGCTGTTCCGGAGCTCCGCAAAGTACTGAAAGAGTGTTAGAGATGGCAGCAATGGTTAGACATGCGGGATCACTCAAAGCCTCCCACTCCTTCCATACATTAAACTCCTCCCACTCCTTCCATACATTAAACTCCTCCCACACATTAAAGGGACACTGAACTCCGGTGTTAAATCTTAGTGCCTGTTCACACGACGTCCGTTTTGTGTGCTGACCGGCTCCGTACGCTGCTGCACTCAAAATGCATCCCAATGTATCCCTATGTGTTTTATGGGCTCCAGTTCTCACGTGCGCAGTCCCTTCAGCTTACGACAGAAAAATACTGCATGTCACATTTTGTACTGTCAGGAAACGCAAACGCGTCAAAAACGCATAAAAACCGCGGCCAAAACGCACTGCATCAGTAGCACCGCGTCTGCAGATCCGGACCTGAAACTCATGTGAACAGACCCTTAAAAATGAGGGCTGTGGAAATTAAAGATTAATTTCTCGATTAATCGTTAATCGTTAAACTTTTTGATCGATTAAAATTATTTTGATCGCTAATGAAAACACTCGCCTCTCCGCCGGCTTCCGGGAGTCCCGTCGGCGATCCAGTGACGTCACGAACATCGACATCACCGGACTCCTCCCCCCTTCCCCAAGTGGCTCCGTCGGCTAACGAAGGGAAGATGAGTCAGGTGATGTCTGTGACGTCAGCGGACTCCTCCCTCCCTCCCCCCCTCGTTAGCCGACGGAGTCACTTGGGTCGGTGAGTTTGCCCAAGAAACTTTCTGCACGAGCGCCAGCCAAGGCATTGGCCTATACACATACAGCACAGCAATGAAGTAATAAAATGAACTAGGATCACACTAATCCAGCACGTTATTATTCTGAGTTGCCCCACTCAAGCGGCGGCCATATTGAGTGGGGCACGTGAGATTAATAACGTGCTGGATTAGTGTGATCCTAGTTCATTGTATTACTTCATTGCTGTGCTGTATGTGTATAGGCCAATGTAGTTGGATCTGTATGTGCGTTATAATTAATCGAAATTAATCAATTAATCGATTTTAAAAAATTTAGATTAATCGAACACGAAAATTTTAATCATTACCAGCCCTAGTAAAAATACATTCCAGGACCTTAACTATTAACAACAATGTATCTTATTTGTGTATCACTCGGCTGTAGATCCTCCAATCATCTCTGAATTGATGCTGACACTGTCCTTCCTTCTGGAGGGGGGCTACTTGTGTTCCCCATGGTCCCTGTGTGTTTTTTTAACCACTTGCTGACCGCGGTGTTTAGACCCCCTTCCTGGCCAGGCCATTTTTCAGTGTTCAGCGCTGGCTGCGGTACTTTGACTGACATTTATTCCGTCATGCAACGCTGTACTGAAAATAATTTTATACCATTTTCTGGGGACAGATGGAGCTTTCTTTTGGTGGTATTTATTCAACACTGGGGGTTTTATTTTTTACTGTAATTAGGAACAATTACTGAAAATTTGGAAAAAAAAAAAAAAAAGTTTATTTTTACATTATGTTAGGAAACATTTATGATTACCCAGTTTTTTGGTAAAATATAAAAAACGGGGTCATGTCGGGTAAATAGACACCAAACATGTCAAGCTTTAAAATTGCGCGCACCCGCAGAAAACTACCATATCCAAAATTGGCCACAGGCAACACTTTAAAAGCTTTTACCGCTCATCAGTTTAGTGTTATCAGTGATTGATGGCCCTAAAATTATCGCTCTCACTGCGACGTTCGCGACGATATGTAACATGTGCGGCATAATGGGCGCAATCGTCTTTTTTGCACGTACGCGCCCCCGACGCATGTTTGCATTCGTATATATGTATGGATGGGGACTTTAAAACATTTTTTTGTTTTTTTATTCTTTATGTGTAACTTTAATTTTTTTTTGGGGGGGGAACTTTAATTTTTTCCCCCCACTAAACTTTATTGCTATCACATAGGGGGCTAATAAAATCCCCCTATGTGATAGCAAAATATGTGACAGGTCCTCTTTATGGAGACATCAGGGGTCTCCAAGGCCCCTAATGTCACCTAGGACCCCCCAAAAGAAGCTGATGAAGCAGAGATCTGCTCCATCAGCTTCTTTCCAGCTTCTGAAGCCGGAGAGTGACACAAGAATGCGGAACCGATCCTTACCCCATACAAGCGATCTGCTGGCTCTACAACCGGCGAATCGCTTGTATGCTAACAGGCATCGTTGCCTGTTTTTAAATATCGGGGCCGTGTCTGAGCGGACGGCTAAAGACGCCCGCTCAGATCTAGAGAGCTCCCGGCCGGCCGTTTTTTTTTACTATGGCCGGCCCAAAGGTAGTTAAAGTAGTCACCGCTCCAAGCTCGCTCCTGTGATGGACTACAATCTCATGTTTAGTTTACGGATTTGTATTGGGATTGTAGTCCATGGCGGGAGCGAGCTCGGAGCGGTGACTACTCTACAACAGCAGGTAGTAAAACAAATGGGTTTTATAGAAAGAAGACGACGATAGAAGAAAGTGGTTGGACACGTCACCTACCTTCTCATTGAGGAGGATAAGGCCTAGTAACGGCCTGCTCATCGACCACTGGTTTCTGCAGTCTTCAAATATTATAATGTTAAGAACAGTGGAAAGCATCTGCAGGAGAGGGAGAGAAACATAAATAAAAGCTCTCTGGCTGCTTCCTGTACATTATCCCCCCTTAATGACTGCTGCATGTAGTCCTGATTGAGCCAAATGCTGAATACACAAACAGTGGCTCGGTGGTTAATACAACAGCCTTCCCACACTAGGGTCCCCACTTCCAGCCCCATCCAGGACACTATCTGCATGGAGTTTGCATGTTCTCCCTGTACTTACGTGGCTTTCCTCCTATTACCATCCAAGCTCTAATCACATGCTGGTAAGTTAGTGTGTGTGTGTGTGTGTGTGTGTGTGTGTGTGTGTGTGTGT